TAAATTATAAATATTAATAATAAAAAATAATACAAAATAATTCTCTGTCCCCCTAGAGAGGGGACAGAGAATTAAATTTCTAGCAGGTTCATGGAAATACATGGCAGGGGTGGAGGAGAACCACCTCAGAGACGCTGTGCTGCTATGTGATCTCCGCGTGTATGAGGGCCCAGGGAAATCCCACAGTATCTCTGCCCTCCCTTCTGCTTTGAGGCTCACGTCTATAAGGACCTATTTTCTTTTCCCAGCGATGCCCCTCTGTTCACTCTGCCAACTTGCAGGCAGATTTGCCCCTCAGCCTCCTGCTGCCTCCCGAGCCTGGCAGGTAAATCTCTGTCCCCAGGTGTGACTGTGACAGGGACAGAAACATGCCTGGTGCGGGTGCCCTGTGCCAGCTGGGGCAGAGACGCACGGCTGGGTACGGTTTGGCAATGAAAGCCGAGACCTGGCGCCCTGCCACCAGCGCAGCCGCAGGCACGGCATTCGTGAGCTCTGCAGCTCGGCCCTGAGGCCGGTTTGGAGGCAGCCTGGCTGAGAAGCAGGGGATAAACAGGAAAGAGCTGTCACCCTGTGTCCAGCTGGGGCTTTTCCCAGACATCTGCAGCCCCTCCGCCTCTAAGGAGGTGCCTGTGCCTTTGGACAGGAGAGTCTGCGGCTCTACCTCAAAGGTGCAAGAAAGAGGAACCCGAGCACGGCTCAGCGAGCTCCAGCCTGGCTTCAGCCCCCTTGTTTCTGGGCGGGCATCGCTGGAAGCGCTGGACTTCACCATGGGAGAGCTCTGTGTCTCAGTCTCCTGGGCAGACAGAGGCTCCATGTGCATGGCTCAGGAGCTCCCTGGGGTGTCTGTATGTGAGATGGGGCTCGTAGGGACCCTCTGTGCTGCTGGGACTGCACGACCCTTCCCTCTGCTGGCTCTTAGGCAGGTGAGCACCTTCCCAGGCTGGGGCTGTGCCTTCCCCCCAGCGAGCTGCTGGCTGAGTGCCTGGGCAAAGGCAGCGGGACGGGGAGGCCACGGCATGCAGCTCCGGCGCAGGATCTGGCCTCTGTGCAGGGACGAACAGCTCTGTGGAGCGGCCAGACCCCGCTGCAGTGAACAGGCTGAACGCAAAGGGGCGAGGGAATGGGCATTTTCTCTTGCACTGAAGAGCCCCCCAGAAGACTTGGCTTTCCTGCATCCCCCCTCACCGGCTGCTGGGGGGAGTAATGCTGTGCAAGAGCGGTGGGAAAGGAAGGCAGCTTTGGACATGGCACCTTTCCTTCAAGCCACCCGCTCCTCCCCCGCC